GAAAGAAAGAAAGAAAGAAAGAAAGAAAGAAAGAAAGAAAGAAAGAAAGAAAGAAAGAAAGAAAGAAAGAAAGAAAGAAAGGAAAGAGAGAGAGAGAAGGAAGGAAGGAAGAAAGAAAGAAAGAACACCAACCCTGAGTCATGGTTATGGCTGGTGTGTGTTCAAAGAGCAGATGGAAGTGAAGCCTTGGTAAATAATATTTGCCATTCTCTGCTGTGAAAATATTCCCATCCTGCTTAATTTCATGCTGATTTAACAAGGATATCTCAAAATTCATGAAAAATGTAGCATCCCTTCAAGTGATCTGATAGAAGAAATTTCTCACACAAGCATTGGGTAAAAGGTACAAAGGATTTATTGTCCTCCTTCTAAAGGGTCTTTTGGCCAACAGGATCCCTGGTGGAGCAGCGTTAAAAACTCAGTTATTAACTGCAAGTCTAGTGGTTCTAACCTACCAGCCTCTCTGCAGGAGAAAATTGTGACACTCTTGATTGGTTTTAAAAACTCAGCAGAACTCGCGTGGGAAAGGGCTTCGCAAAGGGCTGGGTAAAGGGGGGGAGAGCTGTCATGTCAATCTGTCGTGGCGTTGGAAGACTGTAACAAAACACCAGAAGCGCTGAGCAGATGACTCCCAGGATGGATTCACGGTACCAGAGGCCTCTGCGCGACGGTAACATGTGCGCGGACTAGAAGTCACGGCCAACCGGCGGAAAGCCTCACCCCCACCACCACCCCCCCACCCCCCCCCCCCCCGACTCCCGTGCCTTTGGTTTGTCCCGGCTCATTGACTCTGGTTGCGCATGCAGATTTAGCCTTAATCCCTGCCTTTTCCGGCTCTCCTTTTCGAGGGCGGAGCACTCTCCGTAAACTGGCGTCTCCGGAGAAGATGCTTTTCCCGGAGAGACAGAGCCACCGACAGTACCGGGCTGCCCTGAAGAAGGAGAAACGGAAGAAGCGCCGGCAGGAGCTCGCTCGATTGAGAGACTCGGGACTCTCACAGGCAGAAGAGGAGGAAGATGCTTTTCTTGAAGAATGCCAACTGGAAGAAGAGAAGCTGTTGGAGGCGGAGAGGAAAAAGTTGCATGAGGAGTGGTTGCAGAGAGAGCAAAAGGCACAAGAGGAATTCCGAATAAAGAAAGAGAAGGAAGAGGCAGCCAGGAAGCGGCAGGAAGAGCTAGCAAGGAAGTTGAAGGAAGAATGGGAAGAACAGCAGAGGAAGGAGCAAGAAGAGGAGGAACAGAGACTTCAGGAGAAGACAGAGAGAGGGGAAGCTGTGCAGAAGATGTTGGACCGGGCTGAAAATGAGTTGGAAAATGGTGCCACATGGCAAAATCCAGAGCCACCTTTGGACGTAAGAATAATGGAGAAAGACCAAGCTTACTGTTCATTCTACAGTAAAACAGGAGCGTGCAGATTTGGAGATAGGTGTTCACGGAAACACAATTTCCCAGCATCGAGCCCCACCCTTCTGATAAGAAGCATGTTTACAACGTTTGGGATGGAGCAGTGCAGGATGGATGACTACGATCCTGACGCCAGCCTGGAGTACAGCGAGGAGGAGACCTACCAGCAGTTCCTCGAGTTCTATGACGACGTGCTGCCTGAGTTCAAGAACGTGGGCCGAGTGGTGCAGTTCAAGGTCAGCTGCAACTTTGAACCTCATCTTCGGGGCAACGTGTATGTCCAGTATCAATCGGAAGAAGACTGTCAAGCGGCCCTTTCCCTGTTTAATGGGCGTTGGTACGCAGGACGGCAGCTGCAGTGTGAATTCTGCCCAGTGACCCGGTGGCAAATGGCAATCTGTGGTTTGTTTGAAAGCCAGCAGTGTCCGAGAGGAAAACACTGCAACTTTCTTCACGTGTTCAGAAACCCCAACAATGAGTTTTGGGAAGCCGACAGGGACATGTACCTGTCACCAGATCGGACTAGCTCATCCTTCGGGAAGAACGCAGACAGGAGGGAGAGGCACCACGGCAGGTCAAGGAGGAGGCGCAGCCCCAGCTCGGACCACTCCTCCAAAAGGAACGGTGAACCCGGCCGGAAGCGCAGGAGCAGCCACCACGACAAGTCCCACAAGCATGTGAGCCGGAGTCGTGA